AATCAAAAGAGTGTTGTCTACGTACATTATGTCATTTGATTATAGCGAGAGAAACTACTCATCTCCTGGCATTCGAACTTGCTAAACAACAGCTATAAAGTACAAGCCAAGAAGCAGTTCCCGATTTAGAAACTCGTCATGATCGTGTGGAGCTGAAATTGTTTGAAAGCTTTTCGAGCTGTGACCAGAATAGGCTTCCTAGAGAGAACCGGGGTTTATCTTCATGTATGCTGTTGCCACTGCTAGTTCTGCTAATACTAGCTACTGAGGGAGTCTTTGAAGTTTTTGGTGTCCAGCCTGGTGATTTGTTAACTATCACGATAGATCCCCCAATCTCTTTTTTTACCTGTTCTATTACCTGTGGATTTGCTTCATATCCTGAAGCATCAGTAACATAGAAGAATCCAACTGCTCTATCACCATCTGTTCCAATCTCAGCACTTGATATTGATAGCCCATTCTCGCGGAATGCCCGTGTCAAGTCTGAGAGCAGTCCCATTCGGTTGTGCGTGCGAATGTCCAGCCTCAACCCCTGCTGAACATAATTCAGTCACAGGTTCGAACAAGGTTTTTAAGTGGTAGTTTCTTGATTGCTTATGATGGTGAAATTGTACTAGGCATTGCTCTCTATAGTGCTAGAAAAATAGAACTTAAACATGAACAGAAGTACATACATGGGATACTCTGCGCTCAATGGCAGCAATCAAGCATTGGGTTAGTTTATGCCTTTCGCTGTCTGTATCCAAAGTGCATCCATCCTTCTGCCGAATAAAGTACTCCTGCAACATCCACATTCCGAGCAAGCATCAATCCCGCAATTATCATGCTATTTCAGTAACACAATGTTCTGATCTGAAAGAAATGCATGTTAATGTCGTACCTGATCAGCCATGGTGCCCTTAGAACTAACTGCAGCATGGAACACAACATACTGCATATCAGTTAGAGCGCAGAGTGTATCAAACAGGAGCTTTGGCCGGTCTCTACTCCTGACATTCACCACAGAGTACCCCTTCTCCTCACAAGATTCAATAAACACATGAGTTTTGGTACAGTTATTCCTATGTGCTGCACCTCCGCCATTGCATCCCTGACACGGTTCATAGTCTATGTTGGCATACATCAACTGGTGGAGCCTCCGCTCTGTGTGGGTCTGTTGTCCTGGGGCTGGAGCAGTCAACCGGACGTTCCTCCTCTCCCCCATCCCATGACGGGCTTCAACCACATTCTCCAACTGCTCTTGTACATGCGCTAGTCTCTTTGGATCTGTGATCGGCCCTCCTCGAAACCCATCTTCCATGTAGATTATCGAAGCAGCTCTCGTATTGTGGGTCCACGCCAAGGCAGCTGTGACATGGCACTCCAAATCATAAAGCACAGCTGATATTTCGGACAGCAGACCTGGTCGGTCAGTCCCAGCCATCTCCAAGGTCGTGTGCTCTGTTGACACATGTCGTGGCCTTACTTCTCTGTTGAGACAAGTTCGCAATTCCTTTGATACCCCCCTTCTCCTGTTCGCACATAGTGCCTGCGTTTTATTTTCCATTAAAAGCATAAAGGCTGGCAGACAGTTTTAAATATCTAAAAAAGACTTGTCCTGTTAAGTGTGTTCTTAGACGTATATATGATTGATTATACATATACGCATACGTACGTATACTAGGAGAGAGGGAGAGAGAGACCTGCTGGATGTAGAGTATGAGGCTTTCGTCAGTAAGTTTATTTCCAAGCTGGTCAGTCACGTGGAACACTGCATAGCATGCAATCAAAACAAACCCACATGAATAAGGCAAAGGCAAGACATAGGATAGTTGTTGCTGACTCAAAGTTATATTTTCTCTTTTTCTGCACTGGTTCAGGGCCATATTAACCATCAAATATACTTAATTAACATGTAATATGAATAAATCAAAAGTACAGATATGGATAGCGGAACCATGTAGCTAGTGTAGGGATGATGCAAGCGTGAGGTTAGTTTGGAGGGCAGTGGGCACTGACCGTCCATGAACCATCCCCCATCAGAAGAAATATATGATTTGGATATAACAAGGTCAAGATCTGTTAAGACTTGGACCATCTCTAATAGAATCCCGTGCTTGTTTGCGCTGTCAGCCTGCAAAAACACCCTTTTTGATTACAAATCCAGGTAAAAATTGACTAGCCCAAATGAGCATGTAAAATTTCCATGGAAACTAGGTTACAGTACAACTCTTTTCACTCATTTTCCCGTGAGTGACCTTTCCATCTTCTTGGGTTTCCTTTCCAAGTCCTGTGACTAGGTTGGTTCCTTTTTGCAATTAGATTGCGTCATACATATATATAGAACTATGTAGTTATACTTTATAATAGCAGCAGAAGCTTTTCTCTTCTTTTCTTTCGAGTTCTAGTGGGCACACACTCGGTGGGCAGTCGGAGAGATGGGATCTCGATCTCATTTTTTTGCTATCCACAAACTAGAAACTATCAACTCTACGCCAACAAGAAAAAAGATGGCTAAATAAAATTAAACATAGGTACTCTAAATAACATGAAATTCATATAATTAAGAAGTTTAGTTAAAGATAATGGAAAGTGACCTTGACAAGAGTGCAATCTTGGTATGCTTCGTTGTCTATGCAGACTCTGCAACACCAAAACCAGCAAGCAAGATCAAACAACTGATCATACATGTATTATATTTTCAAGAATTGAAGAACGCTATACCTCGGGGGATAAATTCTTTCAATGAGGGACTCAAACTCAGGATCGATATAAGGCTGGTAAGTTGTCTCCATCTCCTATCTTCTTAATTAGCTCCGCTGCTTCCAGGTTTGGTTGGCCTCAGAAATCATCCTTTATATACGATCATAACACAAAATGAAATTAAGGAACGCTTTAACACAATATATACATTACAAACGTAGGAAAGAAGCTGGAGATAAGAAAGCGGCTGTGTGATTAATTGTTTCTGAAGACTTAATTAATAAGTTGATTAAGTGCAAATTACAACACATTAATTAACAGAAATGTTGTCTCAATTCTCTAATATATATATATATATATATATATATATATATTGAGCTTCTTTCTTGAATACAAAGAAAAACAAATCAACGCGTATCAGTGTATGAATCCATATCTTTGATTCAGATACAGAAAAGACAGATCATATACATAAGAAACTATTTGCAAGAGGAATTTGGTTAAATCAAGAAGTCTACAAGAAGTGTGTGCGCGCGCGCGTCAAGAAAAGCTTTAACATGAAGGATACGTATAAAAAATAATTTCTTGAATGTATAGAATTGAAGAAGATGAGTTACCTTGTGTAACAGCAAATCATATACACAGACACAGACAGAGAAGAAATGGAGAATAAAGCAATAGGAGGGCGCCATGGCCTTTACAGAGATGGGAGTGTGGCTGGGCTAATTTTAGAAGGTTTTCTGGGTGCTAAGAGAGTTGTATATATAGCAAATATTGGAGAGTCAATCCAACAGAAACTCTAACCTCCCTTGATTTAGTTTATTTTACGTGGTTGCACAGGATTAAAAGGCTACCTAGGACGAGGACGACTGAGACTCTCATTGGGTATTTGCCACGTATATATTTCATGACAGGTGGAAGTTGGTTTGCGCCGGCTCGGTTCTGGAACATTGGACGCGTGGTCGTTAGACTTGTGATTCTGGGAGGAACTTTTATAGGGATGGATTTATAATGTGTTCCTGCTGTTGTTTAATAGAGAAAATTGAGTTATAATTATCATTATAGATAGAGAGATAAACAGATAAATGGATAGAGAAAGATAATCACAAAAAGAATTAAAAAATAATCCATGAATTTGTTGTACCCGTCACATCAGTCTAATGTGTTGAGAATAATTCAATATTTTTTTATGGGATATTGGTTGGGAAGTTTAAACTAAGAATCAAGAACGAGAACAAATCTTCTTAATTATTAATCAAATCCTTTGAGATTAAGGAATTATTTAACAGGTATGGAATCTATAGTATCTCGCGGGCATGCATGGATTATTAAAAGAGAGTAGAATTCTATCCCTAGCAGAGCTTTCCGACGTTTTCCATGGTGAAAGGCTAGCTAGCTAGAAGCTGGTAACAGCCAAGTGCTGAGGGGCCTAAGCAACGTTCGTGATTGCTTACATTGTAATCTTTTCAGCCATCCATGAGGGCCCTAATTTAGCATTCTTTTTCAAGTTTTTTAAATGTTCCTTCCTAATATTAGATTACAATATTGCAGGAAAAGGGAAGGTAATGTAACGTGGGACAAGAGAGTTTGATTTGAAGAGAAAAAAGGAGGAGGAAGAAAGAAGAAGCTGGGAACTATGAGCAGGAGGGACATGGGAAAGTCGAGAGGAGGAGAAGACTGCAATTCTGAAACTTTTATTAATTCATCGAAACTAAAGATAACACATAAATCAACAATTGGATTTATAATTCATTCGATCCATAAGTATTATCCTAATTGATATTCATAGGGTGGCAATACCTAGACTAGAACACTTGAATGTGATTAATGTACAGCCGCTGCATTTGTTTTTATATTTTAAAAAATTAAAAATAATTTTTTTTATTTTAAATTAATATTTTTTTATTTTTAGATGATTTTGATGTGATTAGTATTAAAAATAAAAAAATATTATTTATTTTGATGTGCTTAGTATTAAAAATAAAAAAAATATTATTTTAATTTATTTTTAAATAAAAAATATTTTAAAAAATAATTATAATAATACTTCCGTTAATATAATAACAGTGCCATCCTCTTGATTAAAAAAACTATAATAATTTTTTTGTTTTAAATGAAAAACATCATCATTTATTATCATTATTATTATATACCACAATTACTATTATTTATCAATAAAATTAATACATAATTATTGTAAATTTGGTATTATTATAACTCTTGTCACCGTTTCCTTAGCGTCGTATTAATTATTATTATATATATACATATATATATATATATATAAAAACAATAAAATTTGACAAGTGGAGGAGATCAAAAACGACGACAAGAAAAATTGTTTGGTGCTTGAAAAAAAAAAAAACAAGTGGAGTAAGTATTTTTCAGAGATTGTGTGTGGAACTTGGAAGCTGATCGTTTCTCTTCTCTCATATCCACAAACAGAAACAGCTTTCAGCACGTACATACTTCACCAGCCCTTTACTCGACGGCAAACCGACTTGTCAATCTCTCTCTGCAACCGACTTCATTCATTCCCTTCTCTCCCAGCCTTGCAGTCTTTTTTGTTTTAAACAGACAAGACAAGAAGTAGAAGAAGTGAAATTTTATGCGGAACTGTTACCGTGTCTTCTTCGTTTGATTCCTCAATTTCATCATCAAGATGGACTTGCAGTTGGTGAAAAAGGGTCTTCTTGATTATACCAGAAGAAAGAAGAGGTGGGCTCTTTTACTAGCAGCTCTTGGTTTCTCTACTTATACTGCCTATAAAGTTTATCACTTTCCTTTACTAGCTGAAAAAAGAAAGAGAGTTTCCAAGATTTTTGGAGCTTTTGTTGCTGTTGCGGAAGTTATCTCTGATTCTGCTGAAACTATTGGGGTTGTTTCTAAGGATTTTAAAGATTTTGTTCAATCCGAATCAGACCAAATTCCCAATAGTTTCAAGCAAATTTCTAAAGTGGCAAGGTCAAATGAATTCTCGGATGCACTAGTTACCCTTACACAAGCTTCGACTGTGGGAATTTTGCGTGGTTACCAAGCCAATGCAAGAAGAATTGATAATGATGCTGGTGCCAATGGAAATGGGAATGGAAGTCCAAGTTTTTTGGATAAGGTTTTTGATAAGCTTTGTTCTTCAGCTGGGTCTGGTTTTGTCTCTGTTGTTGTTGGAAGCTTTGCTAGGAACTTGGTTTTGGGATTTTGTGAAGGTGATCTGAATTCAAATTCAGATTTGAATGCCTCTGCTACTGGTACTGATGGTCATGATTCTGCTCGAAAATTGGTAGATGTGGTTTGTGGTGATAAGTGTAAAGAGCTGATTGGTGATTGTATTCAGTTATTTGTGAGCACAGCCGTTGCGGTTTACCTTGACAAAACTATGCATATCAACACCTATGATGAATTTTTTGCAGGATTAACCAATCCTAAGCACGAAACCAAGGTGAGAGGGGTGTTGGTATCGGTATGTAATGGTGCAATTGAGACTCTTGTCAAGACATCTCATCAAGTATTGACAACTGATGATTCTAACACGAATTCGAGTTTCGATTCCCGTAATTCGGCTGTTGATCAAGGAGAAAGTGCAATGGAGGATGAGCTCTCTGGAAAAGAAGCGTTTTTTAGTGAACCTAAAGCAAGAAAATCATTTGACGAGGTTAAGGATAATGGGTGGGTTAATAAAGTGTCATCTACATTGGCAGTCCCAAGCAACAGGAGGCTTGTTCTCGATGTGACTGGGAGGGTTACGTTCGAGACTGTCCGGTCTTTCCTGGAGTTTCTGCTGGAGAATCTGTATAATGGAATAAGGAGATGTGTTGATGTTTTTCATGAAGTTGTTGTTGATAGAGGTCTTGAAGTGGTGAAATATGTCAATGCAAAATCCTCTGTTATTGCAACTGTATGCATTTCTTTGTGCTTGCACATATTAGATGGTGATTGGATTCTGGTTCCAGCTTAAGTTGTTGAATATTTCTATATCATTTGTCATTGAATTCTCTCAACTCTTTCATTCAACTTTATGCATGAAGGATTTGTTATGTATCTAATTTCTTTGTACAGCTCAATTCATCTCCTCCAACCAGAAGAAGAAAAAAGTTTATTTGGTGATTCAATCTTGTTTGTTATCACAGAAGCTTCTTGTGTTTAATCCCTTTTGGAACTGATGCAATATTTTTTTGTGTGTGGTAATATCGAATTTAATGGATGTTTGGGTAAAAGAACCTGTAGATGTTTAATGGCAACAGTTCCAATTATCTTTCTACACCCTTCAGATGAATAGGAATATAGTCTGATGATTACTTTGTAATGACAAAATCCTCTGTTATTGCGATTGGATGCATTACTTTGTGCTTTCACATATTCGATACTGCTTGTGTCTTGATGCTAGTTTTAATCGTTGATTAGTTCTGTATCATTTGTCACTAATTTGGTGAGTAATCATTAAAGCAACTTTGTCTCTGAAGGATGCGTTCTAGTCTAGTTTATTCTTATAGGCATTGCTCAATTCATCTAATTTAAGCCATATAATTAAGGGAGTTATTTTGATGATTTAATGATGCTTTTTACCTTATTAATTTCTTATATATATCCTCTCTTCTGATATTGTTGTAAAACTTGTCTTCGTCTGGTACCATTTAAGAAGTTTTTAAAAGTTTATCAGACAAAGGTCACTTTGCATTCGTTCTTATTGATGAGAACATGAACATGTAGTCATGTATATGGTTGAATAAATTTCCAAGAAACAGGTTTTATCTTGTAAATCCATGCATACCATGCATATGCAGAGCATTTACATGATTCAATTTCATTTCGATTGCATTCTGGCTTTGTTTGGTTTTCATGTTATGAAAGATGTCTTTCCCGTTACTTATAATGGCATCAATCTGAACATGTTGATTGTTGAACTCCCCTAGTAATGTCTTTGAATCGCCTATAGAGATAAAGGTTTTCTGTGGCTATGAGGAGCAATGCAGTGCCTGCTGCTGATGGACTATTGATGTACTCCACTCCATTGTTCAAGAGTACTTTCAACGCCTGATTATCACTGTAACATGGTTTGGAGTAACTTTCTATCTAGATCTGTGCTCGGATTATTTTTTGCCTGTTTGAACTTTCTGGATATTTTCTTTCCAGTTACAATTTCCCTATCCTGTTAGACTGAAACAAACTGTATAGTACTGGCAAACGTCTATATGAAGTCTACGGCAGTAGCGCAGTTTTTGGATTGTATTGATATCATGGAAGCAAAGACAGTGGCAGAATATCAAGTGGTTGCATGTTTTCTCGTGAATTGGAGCACAGCAAGATGCCTTTTCTGTTTTAAGATTTCCTTTTTCCAACATGGTGCAAAGTCTTCTGGCAGGATTTTGCGAAAGCATCAGCTGTATGCTTGCGGATCCTAAACCGTATCATATAGATTTTCTTTTAAGATTACTAGCATGTTTGGATTGTGGTATAAAATTGTGACATCAGCTCTAGTTTAAAGAGTTTAAAGTGTTTCTATTTAAAAATTAACATAAGCAAATCAAAACAATTTGAAAATATTAAAAAACAATTAATAAATAAAATTTAATTGAAACCGTGTCCCCAACATCACTTGCTCAAGACGCTTCTGCATGTAGTCATCTGGATTTAACATTTTTGGATTAGCAAGTTGTTGAGAAATAATTTACCTAGAACTAGGGTTTCTTGAGCCCCCAGTTTGCAATCAATATCTTTCTTTTGTCTACATCAAGCCTTCCAGCATCAATGTGTTTACATGTCCAAGAAGAAGAGAGATTGCTTTCAGCTTCCAGCTCCTATCCAATAAAGGCTAATCAGTTACGTTCAAATCACTTTCTAAATTGTTTCACGGATTCAACTTCAGAAAGGAGGAACATAATTCATTGGCTAATGGTTCGCCCATTTCTAGTTGAACTAGTGTCACTTTTTAAGCAACATTCATATATAGCATAAGCTCAAACCATGATGCAAAGCTCAGGTGAAAAGGTTAAAATGTTTATAAGAAGCTTGAGGTAGAAAGAACAGAAGGGATCAATGCTCAAGTTAGGATCAGTATAGAATACACGAGCTGTCTTCTTCTCAGAGAAGTTCAATAACATGCTAACTTCACCGCCAATGGCTTCCTAATGAGAACAAAATTCAACAACATTATTTATTGGGAAGTGCAACTCAAGGGCAGTTACGAGGTAGAGGTTGCTTAAGCCTTTCTCCTTTGACCAGAAAACAAACAAGATGACAACATAACCAACCATGTTTATCTTATCCTCCCACAGATGTTGCTGGGACCCCACCTTATCTAAAATATAGCATCGTGTGCTCGAGATTCTAAATTTTAAAAATTGAATAAAACATATGAATAAGCAAACTGGAAAATTGATTTCTCCGCTGTTGTTGTGCAGAAGTTCTTTCCAAGTATTATTTGCTACGTGGAGCTTGTGTCAGCCTCTTTTGCAGCTGCCTCTTCCTCAAGCTTCTTTTTCCAGTACTCATCAAGTGGGGGTCCAAATATTGCCTTCCCTGAAACGACTCCAATGCTGCAAAATCCTTATAAAGTCATTCCCAAAGCATAAAAGACATGTTATGAAATAATATGAATATTTTGATTGGAGGCTTGGTAGCTGATGGGTATATTAACGGTACATTGAGGTCATCAAAAACCTGTGCCTTCATATTGCTATTGCAAAAATAGTTTCAGATAAAATTCTGTTCAATTTTGACATAAAATTTCAGCTAAAATTGACAACTCCGATCAGAGAAGCACGAAGTTCACAAGAATAGTTCAATCAAGTAAACTCAGAAGAAGCTGTAAGTAGAGCTCTATTAAATTCTCAGAAGAAGCAAAAGGGGAGAACAAGAATTGCATGCTGGCTTTTGCTTGGAATTTTTTTAACACAAAGTTGTATGTTAAAAGCCTAACAGAAACTTAAAAGGAAATGCTACTCGTCTAAATGCATATAATTCAGTTCCAATAGTATGAACTCCTCGACTACGAAAAACTAAAATATAAGTATCCAGGTATATTGTCCAATGAAAAATAAAAAATGAACATGAGATTTCTATCAAATGGAGTGACTGAATGAATTCGACTCAGAAAAATAATAATCCCAGTGCAAGCATAATGATTCAAGGGAAAGTCATAGTACAGATGGCAAATAACTTTCACACTCAGTGTAGCAAAACCAGCCAACTGCATCGAGTGTTTAACCACCCCCGCTTCAATTTCATTTTTCTTCCACCATATGTTTTTTTTTAATGCGTTACATGCAAATTTTGCACCGAAATTTGGGATACGGAATTTCAAGAAAATGGAGAGCAGAGAACATATTTTGAAGGCAGAAGCAAGCTAGGTTTCCGTAGAAACATGATATTTACTTTACAGTTACCTTTGGTGGAAACACCAATATTCCCACAGACATAGAGGGAGTTGGATGAAATGCAGGAGAAGCACTCATATCAAGTCACATTTACCATACAAGTCTCATTTTGGCAATCATGTGCTGCAATTAGACAAGAAGCAATGAAAGTTTCTTCCCTCCTGAATGCCATTATCCACAATTTCTAAAACATCTATGAAATCAGTTTAGACTATTTGGGTTGCTTCAACAACTAATCTAATATCAAGTACTTCGACCTCCAAAAGATTCCTTAAAGTCAGCATAAATGTGAAACCTTAGTTAAAAACAAATACACATCAACTCTCCAAATTTTTCCTATTATAATTTAGTTTAATCAACTCCATCTATCAGTATAAACAGGTAATGGGTACTAAAGTATCTGATCTAAAGGGCTGAATTTAGTGCACATGCTTGCTTTTATGAGCAAAAGAAGCCAGCAAATCCAAGCAACATAAACAGGAAGTCAGAAACTAACAAGTACGTGGAAAAAGAAACATAAGGAAAACTTACATAACAGCTCCAATCACCAGGGGAAAGGAGAGAAACCTGCTTCTAAAGAACATAATTTTGGATTCAAAGAGATTAAAGACCCCCTCTTTCTTGCATTTGGATGCTCCTCTTCAATTTCAATTTCAGGGTTTTCCTTTCAAGGGATTAGATTTCAGGTAAAAGTAAGTGGGCCTTGAAGACGAGCATTTTGCATGGCCTTGCGAGCCAGGCCTGGCCCAACCCTTTCATATATTAATAGCCCATGATATATTTTGGACCGGGGTTGGCATGACCCCTCTTAAAATAATTTAATTTTGATCCAAAATGAAACCTGGTTTGGAGGTTAATTCAATCAGGAGTGCATGTCAATCTGAATTAATTTAAAAAAAATTAAAAAATATATATTTAAAATTTTAATATTTCATATAAAAAATAAAAATAAAAATTCATGTAAATATAAGCTATACATATTGTAAATAATAAAATTTAAAAGAATATTTAAAAAAAATTATTTTATATTAAAAAGATATTATGTTATGCTTTTATGTTAAAGTATTTAAAAAAAAAAAATTATCCCACATTGAAAAAACATAAATTTTTCTTGTAAATATAGAATATATATACAAAAGGGTTTCAAATTTTACATTGAAAAAATAATTTTTTTCTTGAAAATATATAATATATGTACTAAAAGGCTTACTAATGAAATGTTAGTTTAGCAGTTAAGGCACAGTTATATCCCTACAAGGGTGAAAACATTAGTTTGATCCTCATGAAGCGCACTTATTAGGAGGGGCAGTCAGAATCCCGAACTGAACCAGTCTCACCCTTTAAAAGGGGTGTGAAAATATTTTGATTAGTATAAAAAAGGTTTTAAATCTCACATTTTAAAAAATAAAAACACTTTTCTAATATTTATATAGTGAACTTTAAAAACTGTTAATAATTAATTAAAAGAATATATAAAAAAAGGAGTTAAGAGAGACCATATTTGAAAAAAAAACATCGGGTCTAGCCTGGGTCATTGCATCGACCAATCTTTTAACAAATTCAGATCGATCCAGCCGCCAAGTCGATCCACTGGGCCAATTCGGGTTTAATAACTATGACATACAAAGTATTTCTTTATTATTAAAAGAAAAAAAAAGAAAAAAATCAATATAAATATTTTTTATTTTTAAAATTTAAAACTCTTCCTTTTATTTTTTATTTTTTCATTTAAAATTATTAATTTTATCATAATCTTTAAATTCCTCAATAGGAATTGTTTTAGGATATATATACACTTAGACTTTCACCATTAATTTTGTACTTTCTAGGCTAAAAAGAAGAAAATTAATAACATAAATATTTAATTAATCATTATTCAAACATCAAATAACATATTTTTTAAATATATTGAATTTTAAGATACCATCAACAACATATGCACAATACTATATGTAAGAATGACTAAAGCGAAAACAAAAAAAAAATGTAAGAATGATGAATTTTAGCCTCTCTTTAGCATGATATTAGCATTCCACCTCTCTCTCTCTATATATATATATGAGATTCTTTTTCTAATTTCCTATGATTCAAGATTAATTGCATCCAGTCATATAGTTTTTTAAGAAGAGATTTCACATATAATGATTGAAAAAAAGAGTTACAACTTGAATCTACGACTCCCTCGATTTGTCTCAAGTCAAATATAGGTTTTCTTCACACGCTTCCTGTCAACAATCAATGAAATATGGGTTGTACACGGTATCTCATCGCATGCAGCAGCTAGCGATGCCACTTTCTAGATAACCTAGCAGAGATAATGCGAGCACCATTAACGATCATGTGTTCACAGTTTTGTCAAAAGCTAAGAAGGATAGCTACTGATCATGCATGGTCCATATATATAAGTGGTGAGAGCAAGGTCCACCATGCACATGGATTCACCGTAAATCCTTGTGCACCCAATTCTCCTCTTCTAGATACTAATTGACATTTCTTCACCATATTTTTTAAGTCAAACAAAATCATTCCTTGTGGCCCAAACTACTTCGATCAATAACTTCAAAAGCCAGTTTCGTGATAGATAATGGTGTTCTATATATGATATCGATCATACATCATAGAATAATGTTATATCTATCTAAAGATTAAATCTCAATCAATTCCTTCATTTATTGCCATGGCTAATGCACACCACATTGCAATATTCAAATTAATTCGCTTCATTACTCAACAGCCAACTCTCACCAGCAGCAATTTATTCCTTTTTTGTTCTTTTTCAACTGAACATGGTGGAGTGGTTGTTCGTATTGAATTCCAAACAAGATCATAAATTTGTATAGCATCAGCTAGGTATGCAATAAATCCGCTAGCTAGGCGTTAGCACTGGTGCTGCTAATCGCTGTCATTTACTCTTTATTGGATTTGCAGTCCTTTACCACAAGCAGTACAAGTTTCGTTGCATTATGCAGTTGAGCACAAGATGAACAGCCACGTACAGATACATATATCGCATGCAACATAATGTGCTTTAATTGCTTTTGGATTTTGTCTTGTTCTCTGTTTTTCCATATTTTCTAGGATTACACTTTTAGGATTTAGATTAATGGTCACGCGGCTACAACCGACGACCTATAACCTTAAGAAATGGAGGTTTGACAATGAATCTGGCTAAAGGGACCCATCTTTTCTTGTCGTGGGGGGTTATCTATTGTTGAAATCCTTGTTCTAGTCGCTAGAATATCTTGATTATGCCTATGCTTTTAGGGATTAGCTAGGCTCTCTTTAAAATGACCTTCGAGAGATTTCTGCATGTGTTCATATAATTAGACAAATGAATTTAGGTTAAGCTACTAAGACTTTTCTGTCCTGTTAAATATTACTATATATTAATGCTAATCTCTTAACTAATAAAAAAACTATCATAATTATTGACTATTAATACTAATTAGACAAATGAATTTATATTAACTATTTAACCATGTTAGGTAAAACAAATTGCTGATTATCGATAACACTGGTCACTAATTATAATATCAGTACCTTGGTGGCATGCACAATAGCTAACCGACCACTATGAAATCTACCCAGATTAATTTTGCCTAACTCTATAGAAGTTGGTGGAGTCAAAGAGGAAATTGCAATGACTCGATCGACAAAGGAATCTTTTGTCAGGTCAGATACAACGCCATCTACTTCCTACAGAATATTCTCCGTAGATAAGGCCTCCATGATTGACATAGCTTTTTATTAATGACACGAGAAAGGATACATTTACACAGCAAGAATTATATGGGATTTTTTCCAGGTATATCAATGCTTTCTGAGAGTAGCTTCTTTCTTCTTCTCCTTTTCCCTTCGAGAAACTGCTTTTATTTTAAAGAACAGCTTAATTAAAGGTTGAAATATATAAGTAAATAATTATGGGATTTCATAAATTAACTATGATTAAGTTCAGTTACACACATGTGAATTATCTTTGGAAAAACCAAACCCTATATATATGGCTTTCCAATATGTTCCAAACAAAACGGGACAATAAAAAAAAACATTTGTAATAAACCAATACTATATATATGTATATATAGATCATCATTCTTCTTCTTTAATTTGAAAAAATATTGATTATAGTTTAAGCTAAGCAAACATGCAATATGATCACGAACAAGTATTATCGATCATGACATGATCCATACATAATAAGACGATAATGGTCGCTCTACTTCATGGTTTGTGCTTCTGGGTATAGATGTAATCGGTGTGAGCAGCAAGTGTCCTTCTCATCAAGCACTCTTCCTCACCAACTCCTTCACAGCTCTCTTCCATCACCTCTGCATGCTCAGCATCAACGACCTAAACAGATTCACAAATTAAAAAAAAAACCCACTTATATTAATCAAATCATAAAACCAATTAATTAAAAAAATCATAAAGTTCCAAGTTCAACCAACCTTTTGTTGGTTCTTCGTCAAAGAACCATTAGGGAAGCCTGGCTCAGGGCGGGCGGCGTAGGTTAGAGTGGAGCAGAGGAGGAGGGATACGATCAAGAAGAGTGTTGTAACCTTAAAATTGGCCATCGTTTTGCTTACTAAGTTTGAAAGAATACTAGTATATGGGAAAGATAGAAGATAAAGCTAAGATCATGAGACTTGAGAAGACAAGTGATCGAGTGGTGGGTATTTATAGAGAGGAAAGAGTAATGGTAATGGTAATGGTATGAACCTGTGATGGTGGGAGTATTTTTTAATATTATTCTTCTTCCAGAAAAGGAATTTAAAAAGAAAAAGGTTGGATTAATTAAAGGTGGGCCACTGGAATTAATACAAAAAGAAAAAAGAAAAAGAAAAGGTTTGAGGATATCACAACAGATTTGTATATTTATACAGTGACTTGGCCGACTTGGGTTTGGGACGTTTGGCATAAAGAGCAGGAAAAGGTCAGGTTGGTGGCTTGTCATGGGTACTGAAAAGAAACGGAAGAAAGCGAAACGATTTAAAAGAAAAAGAAACAAATCAAATTTCATTTTTTTTGGCTAATGATGCTTTATTGATTTTTTAACAAATTCTAAGTTTATACCTATTTTATCGATAATCCGAAAAGGGCAAATTCTAAGATCATACCTATTCTAAGAAAAGGGCAAATTGATTCTTTGCCATGCCTCTTATTTATGTAAATTCTATGAGAATAAAGCAAAATAAATAAATAAATTTTCAAGTTGATGGTTCTATTTACCTTATAATTATTCATCAATGTAGGTATTTTTCTAACATCTAATTGTTGATCATTATATATTTATGTTATTAATATGATTTGATGAGGTACTAATTGTGTTGAATTTCTCATAGATATTTTTTTTTTCATCATTAAGTTTTTTTCCAAATTTAAAAAAACTTGTTCCAAAAATATTTCTATTTTTTTTCTTCAAGAGAAGCAATATATTGAAGCTCCCTTCTCTTTAAGATTTCTCTTTAGCCCTAAAATAGCCTCTAATCTCTTTACACCTTTTATTAATACTATTATTTAATTATTTTTTATTTTTTACATCATAATGCCTAATAAGAAATCTCCATGTTTCTTTTGAATCCTGTTAAATCATTCAAAGTGTTCTTACACCATTTTATTTATAAAATGTTCACACTTCCGACTAACTTAATATCTTGCTTATATTAATCTTGTATTGCTTTCTCTAGTTTAAGGTTATCACTCTTGTCTTTGAGTAATATAAAAACATCTTTTCTCTTTTCAGTTATATATTCAACTTCCGACATTAGCTCTTTTAAATTTAAATTTATCATTCTTATTTTTCTTGTTCAAATGACAAATCATCAATAAAGATATTTTTTTATTTATTTATAAAATTAAATTTTCCACCATTATTCTTATTCAGATTAGTTTGACATTTAGATTTATATCCAAACTTATAATACTTAAAGCATTCAGCTGTAGATTTGTCCACTAGCTTTGGCTTATAAAAAGTTGAATAGTTGTTGTCATATCCTTATTTTTTTTATATGGTGAAAATTTATCATTATTATTGTTTATACTATTTTCTCTTATTTGTCCACCTTTTTGCAAGCTAGAAAAATAATTATTAGATAAAACTTGTAAAACTTGCTTTTATTATATTATCGACTCAACTTTTGCTTATGAATTAGCAAGGAACTTTACAATTCATTAATATCCTTAGCTTTTTTTTATTGAACACATAAGAAAATTTAATTTTAGTGTCAACAATCAAAAACTTTTCTCAATGATTGTAATATCCTTTATTATATCACTATAGATTTGCATCTTGTTAATGATTGTTATCATTCATAAAAAATAGTTTATTGCTAAGTCTGCTATATTTACCCTAAGCAATTTGAATTCTATTCAAAATGCTTGAAGCTACCGTCTCTTTGATTTAGTTAGTTTTTTATACTTTTTCCCATCAAATCCCAAATATCATTAGAGATATCTTATAAAAAATGATTTTTGAAATTGATCAATCAATTAATTGAAAATGACAATTATTTACCTTGAAATCTTTTAATCATTATGCTTTTATCTCTGTTCTTTACATTTATATTATTATTAATATGTCCGGTGGTTCAATTATTTATTGAGAAATGATTTGTGAATACTTCTTTGACTTTAGAAAGCTCTACATTAACATGCTTCAATTATTATAATGTTCATCAAAGTGAGGAATGGTGGGTTGAACAAAATTCTAGGAGCCATGGATTTTTTTTTTAACTTGATGTAATTTTCTTTTGATTTGTTGTAATCTTCAAAACTAAAGTTATTACTTCTTTATCTTTAATAGAGAAAAAAACTATTGTGTTTTCTCTCATAATTAATATTAGCTATGATATTAATTGTTGAAAATCTCTATTATTAATTGTTGAAAATAAAACATGTAAGTATTTGGATGAACCTCCAAAGATTTATTGATTAATTCACATTTTTTTTATCAACACATACATATTAACTCTATATTAACTCTGAATACATTAACTCTTATATTTATTAAGTGATGGATACATTAACTCTTATATTTATTAAGTGATTAATTTTTTAATTATCATAATATAACTATTTAATTAAATAAGGATTCCAATAAACTAATCAAACACAAATTCTTTTTTATCAAGGATTCTTAACTATACTAGGATTACAACTCGTATCTAACATAAATAGAATTGCTTGATTTATTTTTTAATAAAATTATTGACATTTAAAGTTTATTAAAATTATAATTATTGTTACCTAATTCTTTGTAACATTTTTGAAGTATTTTTGAGAAAACAAATGACAAAAACCCAAAAAATATGTTATTAACGTCTTTGCTTCACTTGCAACGTCTTTTTCTATACCTTTAGTTGTTAACACACTTTTTAAATTTGACGTTGAAGTTGTTATTTAAAAAAAAAAGATTTACACAAGAATCAAATGTGAAAAGAAAAAAAGTTGAGGGATTGTTTTGTTTTTGGGTTATCTGGACACCAAATTTGCTTAGAGACCAAGCAATTAAAAATAAAAAGAACTTTTGTTTATAAATAGTTGTTTTCATATACACACATAAGGAGAGGAAAGCCATAAAAGAAACCCTAATGAAAATACCCATAATAAAAATAAAAATAAAAAACTAACCCTATTTTTTTCTAGCAACTATGTTTCTACCTCCCCTCTCTCAGCCATTCCCCCCTCTCTTCACAAATTTGGCCATACAATGTATTCCCTCTTTGTTGCTAAAACTGAACCACCCACAAGCCGTTGCTAAAATTAAACCACCCTCAAAACCTTACAGACCTTCCCCAACCAATTACTCCCTCTCTCAACCATTTTTTAGCAACCCCTACATAAAAAAAAAAAAATCATGAACTCTAGACCCATTCCCACCCCCCTTCTAAAAAAACAAAAACCCTTTTCTTATTTTTTCCTTATCTAGATCATTCTCATTATCAGCCACAACAACTATTTTGTTCCAACTAATCCCCCAGTCACCGTGTTCCTCACCAGCGACCTCCTATCACCCTAGGAACTCCATTGTGACTCAACCATGACAAACTAACAACCTCTTCCCAGCAACAACGTCTTTTCCCCTAGCAGTACAGTCCTTCACACCGTGACCATGCTAAAAATCTGGTGATTGGAATCAACACTACCAGATCTGTCCCTTTACTCTCCTCACTCCTTTAGTCGACAACAACTCACCATGACGTCAACCATCTCTTCCTCCATCGGTATTATGATAGCAATCATTAAAGAGTCCAAAAGAAAAATATAGAGAGAGGTGAATATGTAAAGAAAAAAAGGAATAAACCAATTGTATGTGTTTGAGATTTATTTTGTTTGCAGGTAATAAAAAATTACACAGTCGATAGGGAAGGGAGGAGGTGAAGGAGTCACTTCAAATCAAAAAGTTTTTGGCCTTCAATTAGTAACGTCACATAATACAAGCACCACCATTGTTTCAGCGACCCTTCTGACTTGATTCCAGTAACTCTTGGATACTCTGAAAACCTTTAGAAGGTCTATTCATGACCTCAAATTATTTTTTTAATAAATTGCTATAATGTTATAGAATTTGAGACAAAGATTTATTGTTTTGTATAATATTTAGATTGTTTGGATACTGTTGATTTAAATTGAGGTGTGTTTTTTATTTGATAGTTTTTATTGGATGGTGTGTTTATTTTTTGGAGTAATTGCTGAATGAGATTTATTTTTTTATTTCATGGTTTATGTTTGCGTTTGGTGTTTGCTTGCTTTTGAGTCAATTTCAAATAGTAAATAATTTGTTTTGAAATTGATATTTTGTTCAATTTAAAATAAATTATTGTGTTTCGCCAAATGTGGCTTTGGTCAAATTCTCAAAGGTTTGATGATAATTTTGCAATAAATTTATATTTTCCCACCTTTGTTTTCACCCTTTCATAATTAATATTTGGAACTGTGATCTATGCGCGAGACATTTTTTGATATTAAACTTATCGGTTCCTTAAGAAAACAAAAAAGCTTTCCTTTAAAAACACAATTTCAATTTTAATTTGCATTCGGTCCAGACTCTTAAAAAAATAAAAAAAAAAATAATATCATATTTTCATATAAAAATTCAAAAAAGTACATATTTACATGTATTTTTAGATTTAATAACCAATTTATTAAAGATATAAGAATTTGCCCTCTATTTAAAAAATATAAGAAAATTATTTTTTTCCTATTAGCATCTAAGATTATGAACTTATATGTAAGACATATCCTAATATCAAATAAAAAAGATGATTTCTTGTATTTTTATTATTGACATTAAAATGGTTAGGTTTTTAACATTATAAGATAAGGATTTCCTTACTGAAAAGAACTTTTCTTAAACTTTAAACATATCAATGATTAAAAAATATAACAATACCTTAGTTTATATCAGACAGATAAACAATGTACCCTATCTCGGGTAAAGTATATAAGAGATGTTAAAGTATATAAGAGATGTTAATATCTTCTCTTTATATAATTAGTCTCATTTCATAGACTATAAAATCAGTCAGAATTTCGAGTGATCAAAATATAAAAAAGATGTTAATATTTTCTCTTTATAAAATTAGTCTTATTTCCTAAATTTTGAGATCAATTTTGATTATAAATGATTAAAATATTAGGTGAGTACTCTTATTCTTTTTTTTATTAACAGAGAACAAGAATTCCTTATCTTTTTTTCTTATATCATTCCTAATCCAGAAGGATAATAATTTTTATAACAA